GAGCCGCGTCGGGGTCCTCGGTCGCCCCCGCGGTGACGGGGCTCTTCGCCGGGCGTGCCGGTGCGCGGAGGAGGCAGCGCCGCCCTTTCCTGCCTTGGGCCTCTCCGGGGCTGGGGGGGAGCGGAGGGACACGTTCTGGTTGCGTCCCGTCCTCTGAAGGTGAATTTGGGGATTTGAGAAGTTGCTTCAGACCAGCTGAAAGGACAAGGTTTCCTGTTTGCACCGTGTTTTCATTTTCAGCTCATGTACAAGACGTGGGCATTGAACTCTGATGGCTTGTTAGCCATTTGGTAAGGGTAATGAAGACTAGAAATAAAATAGCCCTCGACCACAAGCAACAGAATTACTGCACAGCTATGTTCACATAAATGTCCAAATTAGAAATAAACAAGGTAATGAGAATCGTCTTGCTGCAGCTGGACAGCAGCTTAGACACATGAAGGGGGTTGCAGTCCGTATAAAAGCTTTTGTCAGGTTTCAGTTCAAAGAAAAAGGCATGAACCTGTGTAGACAAACTATACTCCTTTTCGATAGAAGAGACTTTGACATATTAGTATGATCTAAATGGAGCGCTGCATTCTGTTCCATGTAGAGCAGAGACCTTACTTCATGCCCAGTCCTTTATGTATATCAGTGTATGTATGCATACAGTATGAATGACTGACCATATGGGAAGTGAAAGATACTCTTTATCTGCCTAGAGTTAACAACTTCTACATGAAAACATACTCCATTTCATCTTAGTTGAACTCATTCATTATTGTATGTAACTGAAATATTTTCTATGCCCCCAAACTGTAGGAGTTCAATGAAATTTTCTCCTTCTACGATAATTTTCTGCCTCAAAAAATTTTGTGCAATCTCTTAACTTTCAAAATTAATCAGTATTTGAGTTATTAGCATATGTGGGAAAAGCTAATGTGTAGGATAGGAAATGTATTTTTTCTCCTTCTATAACATGCCTCAAAGTTTATAAGAAAAGTTTTCAGCTCTGAGGAAAAAAAAGTAAAAGAAAAAATTGAGCCTTATTCATAAACATTTACTACATGCTTTGTTCCACTAGTGGTTGCTGGACATCAGGAGAGAAAAGAAGTCTAGGTCTTTTCTGTTGGACCTTTATTCTCGCTGTCCTTATTAAGTTTCATCCTTTACTATCTTTCTACTCCATGCAGAAGATAAATATGGCCTTATCAGAACTTGCCATCACATGAAATCCTCTCTGCGTGCTTGCACAGATAAGTTTCTGAAAAGAAACATGCTGAATTCATTAATATAGTTTATATGTCATTGAAGTTACTTACACATACGATAAAATAGGAATGTCAAAGTTTATTGGAGGGTTATTTATCTCTAAGGTGCCAACTCACTAGGTACTTGCAGAAAAGGCCTTATTTTATCTCCTTCATGCCTGGTAGTGTCTAAGGAGCAGAACTCACCTCCCATCCAACTTTACTCTTTGTGCAGTCCTGGAGAGCATAGGTGGAATGGAGGAAGACAGTCCAGGCTGTGCTAATATTTTAAGGTTTCCTTACCTGTTCACTAAAAGAAGCCTTTTTTAGATTTTCATGAGTAGCTTGGTGCCTGAAGGACACTCACAGTAGTCCCAGGATGGGTTTTTTTGATCAAAGTTGCAGCAGAAGTACAGAATTGTTTGATGGGGAATTCCAGGGTCTGACAGACTTGAAAAGGTAATGCTTTTATTAAAGTTATTGCTTTTGTGCAATTGAGACAAACATTTGATGTGGATCTTGGCTTTATCTAGTCAGTTATTGTGGTGATGCAATTTTCGGTAACAGATTTAGTTTTCAGTATTAAATTACCTCAGAGATTTGTGGATTTAATAATATTTAATTTATTCTTTCCTTTGAAATAAAATAGAAGTAGTAAAAAAAATTACATGTTATGGAAAGTTTTATATTATGATGTCTCAGTGAAATTGATGTTGAAGATTCACTTTAAATCTTGTGGATTATCCATTCTAGTAAAAGTGGCTGTGAGTTGGAAGGCTTTTAGTCTGGATTCCTAAAGAAACAAAGTATATATATAATTACACCAGCTGTCTGGTCATCTTCGCTCCATTCCATTATCCAGCTTCTTAAGGGAATAAAAGTCTTAGGGATGAGTTCTTTCCAACTTGGTTGAAACTGGCAGTGGGTAGAGAGGAGAGACCTGCATTACTGTTTCAATAAGAGAAAGGCAGACAGGACTTGATCATGCAGGCAGGTAGCCTACTCATTGCACATAAATGAAATCATGCATATTGTTGGTTGGAGATACCAGACGGAATATGAGGACAACTGAGATTAATCAAGACACGTATAGGAGACAGGCATAGGGAGAGACAGAACGCAACTGTGTAGGAGTCTGGGCTTCAGTAGTACCACTACTTACTAAGACACTCTTACTCATGTAAGAGTAAAGTCATTCTGCTTTTCAGTGTTACTTCCACTTGTGTTGGGACTTGAGAAAGATGAGTTTCATCTTTATGCATAAAACATAGTGGTGATTTAAGCAGCACCTAACTTTGTGTGGGCGCTTGCCAGGTGAGGCATTTCCTCATGGTGGATAGCGAAGGTAGCAACGTGGAGCTGGTGATGCCAGGTGTACGTTCCCTCAGAGTCCCGCGGGGTCCGCAGGCAAGGGGAAGTGTGCTTGGATTGCTCCTCTGCACCTCTATTCCTG